GGTGGGGATAAAACACCCAACCAAAGCCCTGACCCCCACAGCAGGGGAAAGTGGCACATGGGGGGGGGGGGGGGGCGCAGTGCCCCTTGTTGCCACCAGGGGGCACACGGCTGCTCTCGGCTGGCTGGCCTGCCCGTCTCGCCCACCACTTGACAGCAGTGGCGGCCAATAGCACGCCGGGACCACCGATGCCTGATTGGCTGCACCATGGGTGGGCGGGGCACACACACACACCGGTGCCCGTGCGGGGTGGGGCCGGGACTCACGGGACACAGAGTATTTTATACCAGAAACAATTATTAAAAGGAGAATTAAAATGCCGTGGCCTCATCTGTGGTGAATTGCTTGACCTGGGTTCTCTGGGAGGGGAGTGGGGGCTAGTGGTTAGAGCAGGGGGGCTGGGAGCCAGGACTCCTGGGTTCTCTCCCTAGATCTATATGCGGGCAAGGGTGTTTCGCATAGGAGAAGAAGTGGACGGTCCCACTGAGGTTTATTCTTCGGCCCCCACCCATTTATTTTACCACGAACGCCCAACACCGGCCCACCTCCCTGGCCATGGCAGAGACTGACAGCCGCAGCTGTCTTCCTGGCTCAGAAATCCCCAGGCCTGTTTCTCCAGCCGGTCCTGTGCCCCAAGGAGCTCTGTCTCTTGACTTCCTCTCTGGGTGACCCGCCCAGCCTGCCTCTCTGGCTTTCTGTGCCTCCATCGCTTTCTGTTTCTCACACACAGCGGCGATCCGTCGATCCCTCAGCCCATGCCCTTACCCCTCAGTCCCAGGGAAACCCCTCCATCCGCAGGGCTTAGCACCTTGGGCGGTGGCTTTCCGCGGTTTCATCTCTCGCTACACACATGGTGCACTGAGTTGCTCCTTCTGCTGAGCCAGATCGGTCCGCGCAGCCTGGGCCGTCTGTCGAGCAAAACAGCCGTGAACCGGTTTGTCACGGGGTGCGAGAAAGGGAGTGGAGTCCTGGGCAGCTAGACACATTACCAGCTGCCAAAAAGGGGCAGCTTATAAAGGCGGAGACGGCTGCTGGCAGACAGCGCCCGGAGGGAGGCCAAATTCCAGGCGACAGGTGCTGGCAGAACAGGAAGCCAGGGGCCGAGGGAGGAGGCGGCTGGCCCCAGAGAAACAGGTGTGAGTTTTCTTTTGAAAGGCTTCATGCAGGGCTTAATAGACCAGAGGCCAGACGAGGGAGGGAGGGGTGCTGTTTTGGGGAAACTGAGGCAGGCCTCAATAGAATCACGCTCAGCCAGGTGCCCTGGTGAACGCTGCTTATTCATTGGATCACATGATACTGTGGGGAGAAAGGGGAGGGGTTACACCTTGTATATGTCTACCCCCGACCTTGAGACGGCCAACCCTCCCCACGGCCCCCTCCATCCATCATGACATACACCACCTAGCTACCTGCCCTGCTGTCCCAGGCCTCCGCTCCCTGCCCCCTCTTGGTCCAGACCCGCAGCCCCCCGCCCCTGCTAGCCCAGCCCCGCCAGGGCCCCTTGATCCTGCCCCCTGGGGTGAAGGCCACCAGGCCTCGATCGATGGCTTTCCCAGAGCCGGCGGCCGCGTGGGTGGCTGGGTCAGGCCTGCAGTAGCTTATCTTGTGTTCGCGCTCACCAGAACAAACTGATGATCAAACACTTCAATTCCTGAGAAAGCCTGAACGCGGGTTATCTCAACCGCTGCCCCGCCCCAGAGGTGGCCGCATCTCAGCGCTGGGTGAGGAAGCCCTGGATAACCAGCCGCTCCGCCCCAGAGGTGGCTGCATCTCAGCACCGGGTGAGGGGTCCCTGGGTAACCAGCCGCCCTGCCCCAGAGGTGGCCGCATCTCAGCACTGGGCGAGGGGTCCCTGGGTACCCAACCTGGCAACTGCTTTAGGCTCAAAAGGCACAAGGGGACTATTGGTTGGGAGGGGGCTGCAGGCAGATGTGGGATAGGCAGTAGCCCAGTGCGAGGGAGGGGAGTGGGGTCAGGTGGGTTAGAGCAGGGGTGCTGGGAGCCAGGACTCCTGGGTTCTCTCCCTGGCTCTGGGAGGAGAGTGGGGGCTGGTGGATTAGAGCGGGGGTGGGGCTGGGAGCCAAGTCTCCTGGGTTCTCTCCCTGGCTCTGGGAGGGAGTGGGGGCTGGTGGTTAGAGCGGGGGTGGGGCTGGGAGCCAAGTCTCCTGGGTTCTCTCCCTGGCTCTGGGAGGGAGTGGGGGCTGGTGGTTAGAGCGGGGGTGGGGCTGGGAGCC